AATGACAAAAGGGTGGATGAACCCTGAATCACAGAATCGTTTAGGTTGGAAAAGACCTTTAAGATCATCGAGTCCAACCGTTAACCCAGCTCTGCCAAGGCCACCACTAAACCATGTCCCCAAGCACCACATCTCCCCGGCTTTTAAATCCCTCCAGGGATGGGGACTCAGCCCCTGCCCTGGGCAGCCTGGGCCAGGGCCTGACAGCCCTTTGGGGGAAGAAGTTTTTCCTAATATCCAACCTAAACCTGCCCTGGCGCAGCTTGAGGCTGTTTCCTCTTGTCCTAATATGAATGACTAGATGGAGCTGAAAAAATTGTGGCTTTTCCTTGCTAAGGCAGTAAATGATAATGCTTGCCTTTAGTACAGGTAGGTGCAGCCTTGATATTGGGACGGGGGCATGTTTTGGAGGATGAGCAGGTGCATGGTACGGTGGAAGCATGCCTGCAGGTAGGGGCAGCAGCTGGGGGCAGGCGCACAGTCCCTGCCACGTCCTACCGTTGCGGTTCTCTCAGTGGATGGGGTTTGATGTGACCAGGGAAAATTTGCAGCCCTGGGCTCGGCTTCTGGTGCCATGATGGGAAAGTGGGATTCTGAAGCAAACAGATTGAGGTTGTGGGTAGGAAAAAGCCTCACTGATCCTATCCCTCCTGTAAACCCATGCCTGACCTCAAACTTCTGCTGTAGGAGCTTCCCCAGCGCGAGCTCTGACAGGCTCCCCGAGCACAGGAGCATTGCAGCCCCTTCCCCTTGCAGGCAAACACCCTGCAAACTGCCTGCTGCTGGTGCTCGGTCCCAGCCAGCCAGAGCACGCTGGGGAGTGGCCGCAGCTCCCTCCCCGTGCTGCTGGCCATGCAGCAGCTTTCCATGTTTCCCCTACTGCTGTTCCCACCCCCATCATCTCCGTGAGTTCATTTGATTAGGAACTCTGGTTTGCATGGTAACACTGGAGCCCCAGGAACGATGATATTTTTTTCATGCCAATCCAGATGAGTGTGAGACAGCAGTCTCGACAGGGTGGGTTGCTGTGATTCAGGCAGTAGAAGTCCAGAGCCATTTATGCTGCATTTGCGGAATTACTGGCTGGGACCAAGAAAGCTTTGGGGAAGGGGAGAGCAAGAGTGCATTTGGGACCCTTGCTCGGTCCTTAGGGAGGACACAGCTCAGCTAAAATCAAGGATCAGGGCCTCAGTCCGGACATCTGAATGGGGCCAGGAAACTTGCTGTTGAATGAACTATTTAAGAGGGACCTGGAAGGGCTGGAGGGAAGGGAGCTACAGCAAAGAAACAGAATGGTGCAGCAAAGTAAGCTGCTTGGGAATGAGGAGAGGGGAAATATTTCAGCCCCAAACAGGGCATCGTGTCTGGTACCTCCAACAACGGCATCTGCTCTTGGACAGACGCTGTGGGATTTATATGCTGGGCTTTGTCGGTGGTCGGGGTATTCTCCTTTGATAAATAGAGAAGGATTCCCTTTCTCCTGCCCTTCCCTTCTGCAGGGTACTTGAGGCACAACTTATCCTTGTCGCATCGGCCAGAAGGCACAAAGGGAGGTGTGCTACAAAGGCTTCACTCTTCCTACCTGCTCACCTACCTCTGCCATCAGAAAAGCAGGATTCCACCATGGTTATAAGGCAGCTTTACCTGCACCGATTAGCCCCCGAATGCGGACTCTGGCTGCTGGCGGATCCTGCTGGGGCAGCGGATGATGCTGCCGGTTGAACAGCTGAGAGCATGGGAACACAAAGCCTCCGAGAACACCAAATGCCTCAGCAAAATCCGTACATTTGCAAGGGGTTAAACACAGGAATGTGCGCTCCTGAAGGTCTGTGGCGGGATGGAAATGATGTGAGAATTCAGGGCTATTGGATCTAGCATTCATTCAATTACCATGCTTAGTTAAGTACTGCACAGTGGAGTGAAGACTGCAGTCTGTTAGGATGGCTGCTACTATAAGTCATTTAATTATGAGGTTGCTCATATGCCATTTTAACATATGTGGAGTAACATTATCCATCTTTTGTAGGTCACTATTCTCATAAGTCTGGCTCTTGCATTCCTTGCCTGCATAGTGTTTCTTGTGGTATACAAAGCCTTTACTTACGACCACAGTTGCCCAGATGGATTTGTTTATAAGGTAAGAAACTTCAGACGGATGAATTGCCTGAGATAATGATAGACTCTAATTGACTACATGGTTACAGTCTAGTCTGCTTTTTTGACCAGGCCAAACAGAACATTTGGCAAGAATGTGTTGAAATGGGAAAAGTGTTATGGGAAATGTGGACTTGCATCTGCCTCCGTCAGCTACTGTTACACTGTAATTGTTGGGATCAGCATTTGGTGAACACTGCAGACAGATGTTCAGGAACAATCCCTCATATTTGTGAATGGATTTATTGCAGCTGGAATCCCGTGTTTGCTTCCCACACGTTCAAGTGACTGAGGTTTACTGGCATACATTTTAATGCAAAGCAAGCTCCCGGAGTGCTGGCACATGTGTCCTTTGTAAAAGAAATCCGAATTTGCCCATGCAGTTAATTTTTAGGTGCTTTTTAACCTCTATCAAGAGCAAAACCATGTAACTTAATGGCTAAAACCCTGCCGCCCAGTGATTTTGTATTGAATATTCACAGAGGACAATTTGCCTGGTCTGTTGAGATTTAAAAAAAAAAAAGAAAGAGTTTGCAAAACAGTTCACTGACTCCTTACTGTGAATAAACTCATAAACTCACAGGAGTCTTGACCACACTGGGGATAATCTGTGGGCTGGAAAATAGAGTAAGGATGGTGGTGTATTAGTCATTTAAGTGTATATAAAAATGAAGTATAAAAATGAAGGATGGAGTAATGAATTTCAGAATCAGATCCAAACCTGAACTTCCGAAAAGAGTAAAGGTTTTGGCCTCAGATTTCAGCTAGCCACATTGAACTGGGAGTTGGGGTATCTCATAATTTAATAATAATTGTACCTGGGGCCCTTTGTGTCCTTGGTGCTACTTTGACTCTGGGGAATAACAACCAGTCCGACATTTGTTACCATTTGATTGCTCTTTTACAGCTGTTGCAAAGCAAATTGTTTTATCTGTGCAGTTCTTAGCACACAAGTGTCCGCTCTAGCGCAGCGCAGATGCGTGGGCAGTGTCTGCCCAGACAAGAAGCTCTGGCAAGGGCTGGCCACTTGGGCTACGCTTCCTACCGTCCCCGGCCAAGGTGGTCGTCCTACAGGTCAGAGATAACACACTGTAACAGAGCAGCATGTAAGCAGCTTACTCTGCCTCTGCCTGTCCTCTGCTTGTCCGAGGATTAATGCTGGGCTTCGCTCTACAGAGCTTTCAGCCCAGCACGTGATAAGAGCTGCTCAGCCAGCCTGGACACCAGCAAGGGGCCTCGGTCTCTGTGCAAGTCAGGAACGTACCAAACCAGTCCAACCATCATTTTACGCTCCCCATTTCCCATCCCCGGATGAAATCAGCCTGCAATCAGGGTTGCCAATAGCAACAGGTTTGAAGGCTGCTGCCCGACTCTAAACTTTGTGCATTCCCACGGCGCTGGAAGGCAGCCGGGGCTGCGCAGCAGACGCTCTCGCTGCGGCAAGTCTGAGTCAAACGTCATCCGAGCAAACAGCTAACTCAGATTTTTAAAGCGGGAGCCTGAGGCTGATGGGACCGCTCCTTACCTCTCTTGCTTTCTCCCTGCTTCCAGCACAAGCGGTGCATCCCAGCCTCGCTGGATGCCTACTACTCCGCACAGGATTCCAACTCCCGGGGCAGGTTCTACACCGTCATCAGCCACTACAGCATGGCCAAGCAGACCAGCTCCCGGGCCGTATCGCCCTGGCTGTCTTCAGGATCGGTAAACCACGAAGCCAAGGCTGCCAAGACAGAAGGTCATTAAAGCTAAGAAGTGGTGATGGGCAAAGTGGGAGGGTGGGGGGGACAACACCATGTCTATACTGCATTGCTCTAGCTGAGGGTGCTGTGCTAACAGCACAACAGGAATAAATAAAACCCAAGTGCAGGAGTCATCTTAATGGATATTTCTTTTCGTGCATTGTTCTCGTTGATTTGTAACCGAGTCGAGCTCTTGTACAAAGGCATGTTTGATGTTGACTGTACCTTACGATGTAAAAATATTTTTAAATCATTGCTTAACTATTTGTTAGAAAAAGAAATTAAAAAACAAAAAAAGCATATTAGATAAACAGCCAGAGAGGATAAAAGCAGCAAAGAGAATCCCACAAAGTGTTGTCATTGCTGGAAAGCTGTGACATGGCTTGACATGCAGTGAAGGAACAGCTGAAATCCTTTCGAGAGAGAGGGTAGAGGGAACCTGTTACAAAGACACGGTGATGTTGTTTAGCTTGCCAAAGGGGGGATATGTTGCTGTCAAATTAAATCTAGCATCAGTGTTCATTTGCTGATAGAGAAATACAAGCATCCCCTCCTCCCTCAAACACACCCACGTGCAAACACACCTGCACACACAGCCAAGCACAGCGGCCTACAGAAATCCAGAGAGATCGAGGCATTTGTAATGAGCCGCCACCACGCCGGTGACCTTGGCTGGGCTCGGAGGCTGAGATCCTGGGTGCCATTTGGGTACGGAGCAGGATGGAAGCAGATGGAGGCTGCCACAGTGAAATCAAGAATATACCTCTGAGCACAGGGCTCGGAGGCAGGAGATCAGGGCTTTATTTCTGTGCTGCTGCACAGATTTCCTGCATACCCTTACGCGAGATGAGGCTTCATCCTTTGGGACCTCCCTCTGGAGGGCCACCAAGAGACAAAGAAATGCCATTATACGTTGAGGAGTCTCTCAAGAGTGGTGATAGTATAGAACAGTATTAAGCCTCAAACTTTTCAGCCCCTAGTTTTCCTCACCCATGAAGTGGGGTGCTCCTGCTTCCCTCCTTCAACTTCAGATACTTCAGTATTTAATGTCATTCTAGGCAATTAGAGAGGGATGGCCGTAGCATGCCCTCAGAGTACAAGGGTCCCATCAAATCTCTGCTTGCAAACACAGACCAGATCCCAAGCTTAATCCAGTCCTGGCCAATGTAAAACACCCTCTCCCCACAAACGGCATGTGCAATTAGTGCAGACTGATGGGATTTAAAAAAAAAAAAAAAGGATTCTCTTTTTTCAGAGCTGCAAGCCGTGGCTGCAAAGCAGCTCTGCTCCTCAGTAGCGCAGGCAGGGTGAGACGGAGCAGCAGGAGCAGAGTGCACAAGGTTCACATTTGACGAAGGCTGCTTTTTCAGATTTGTGGCTAGACTGGGGTGGAAATTAGGACCTGGCCCCTTCTTCCCTGGCATTGGGCAGTTTTGTCCTCCATAGACACTAGAGGGTGTAAATGAGGGCAGAACTCCTGAGTCCTAACAGGCTTCATGATAAATAACTGTATAGTGTAGCTAAAATGTAGTGCCAAATGCCATTGTCTGATTTCCTATCCTTCCTTCCCCTTCCACCTGTAAATTCATTTCTCTCTCAAAATGTACAAACCACCCCCTCCACCAACAGTCAGAACTCCAGCAAACCACTGAACAGTTTATAATTTTGTGGTGTATTTTTTGTCAGTAGGTAGCAGAGACTGAAGTATTTTTTGGTGTAATTCTTGAACTTTTCTGACGGGATTAAAATAAAGCTAGATGTGACTGAGCGCCTCTCTGGCTCCGGCAGGTTTTTTGGGTGGCTCATGCCGCGGGCTGGGAGGTGGCGGGCGGCGATGTGTGCGTGCCTGCTGAGTGTGGCTGCAGCCGAGCCTGCATCTTTGCACAGGACCCGAGGGGACTCGAGCTTTCAGGAGGCATTTTCAGAGCTTGATATTTTCCCCTTTAATCACTGGGGATTTATTCCCTATGTTCCTGCCCATTTTTCAAATGCAAATAGAAAAATAAGTAATTAAACCCAAGGTAATCTTCAAAGCAAGTGGAGATGCTTTTCTACTGGTGATTCTTGACTTTATGGAGAGACCTCCCCTCCCTTCCCATTTTAAGGCCAACGAGTGATAGAAACTTTGGCTGGCAGCAATGGCTCCTTTGCCATCTACTCCCAATGCGAGTGTTCATCTGCACTGGAGCGGGATCCTTCGGAAGGGCCGGTACAAAAAGAGCGCTGCAGGGAAATACAGCTGACAAGCCCAGGGCCACAGCTGAACTTTGAAAAAGTTGAGCTCTGTATCCAAACTCTGCAGCTTGGTTTCTAATGAACCCACAACTCTATTCAGCTCATATTGTTCAGAAAGCAGATTGTGCTTCCTCAAGTCCTTCAGCTCTTTGAAATGGAATGATACCCTGGCATTTAATTGGCTCATTTCCAAAGGCTAAAGAACATTTTATAAAACCTTTGGATGGCTTTCCTTCCGTAAAAAAGTGTATTCAGAGTTGTGAAATTGAGCTACCGTAGGACAGAAACCGCTCTGGTGTTAGAGGTCACCACCGAGGACTTGTGAAATGTATTAAAAGGGATTCGGCGTGCTTTGCAGACTTGAGTCACAGGATAATTTGACCATGGTATTTCCATTGCCACTCTCCCAGTAATACCCTAACCGTATGTTTACTTTAATCTAAAAAACCCAGGAATCAAATCATTTGAATTAAAAGGTTCTAGCTATTATTAGATAAGTGAGTCAGTGGGGATAACCATTCCTATTTAATAAAGGCAAGATCAAAATCTGCATGGAGCAGGATGGAAAAAAAAAGACCCAAGGAAGACTCATGGGAGAGCAAAAGAAACCAAACCACCCAACGCCAGCTGCAAGTTCCATTACGGTGAATGCTGTTATTACGGTTTTTGTACAAGCTGCAGTAGAGCTTCCAAGATCAACCACGTATTTTAATCACAGTAACAGAGAGAGAGAGAAAATTGAAACTGTAGTACATCTTATTTCGGTCTTTAAAAGCCTCCTTCAAGGTTGATCATATGTTTTCAACGCTGATTAAAGTAGCACATTGGTGATAGCACAGTCTCATCCTGGCTGGCATCTCCGTGAAGTCTAAAGCTCCTGTCTGGCTCTAGAGAGCGGTGGCTTTGTGAGCGGGTGTCTGCCGAGGGCTCAGTCTCAGCTCTCAGTGGTACCGACGAACACTTCCCTGTGCTTCTCCCACCGTTTATGTGATGGCCAAGCCAAGTCAGCTCCAACTTCTTCATCTGTGACTGACCCTGCTAAAGCATGAGTCCCTTGGGGCCATCTTCTCCGTTATACCAGATTGCTGCAGTGGGCTCAGCTGTTGAATTCTCCACCAAAATATGCTTTTGGGCCACTGGGACTGGAAGAGTTGATTTGCCTTCTGAGACAGTCATGCAGGAGGTGGCTGCCCAGACTGTTTGTTTGTCCTATCTGGAGGGGTGGGAAGGGATGAACAAGAAGTGTCAGCACACGGATGAGCTCATCTTGCGGGGACAGGGACGTACCCAGCAGGCAGCAATCCTGTGCAATAACTGGCAGAACACATGGGGAAAAAAACAGCTTTACCAAAAGGTGTGGTGGTGCCGTGATGGGAACTCAGCTGCCCCCAGCGTAGGCTCGGGAAGAGGAGGAAGAAATTGTGGCTGTTGGAGCCTGAGAAAGATCGAGAGCAAGAGAAAACGAGATTGCTACCAGCCAAGACACGGAAGCAAGTGTTGCTTTTCTGTTGTAACCCCACGACCCTAAAGCACTATATCCTGCTTGGCTCGTACAGACTGTCCTGTTTTGGAAAAGCCGCCCATTGTTGCTACAATCATCTGCTGACTGCGGCGCGCTCCGAGGGGAATCGCTCCCCCACTGACTCAAATCCTCTTGGACCGCCTGCAAGAACAGCGTGAGAAGAGGAGGTGCCGACGGCAGGACCCCGGGGCTGGCCGGGCGCACCGCTGGCAAAACCAGAGCTGTCTGTCCAGCCTCTCGGCGGTGATTTCATGCTTTGGATCTGCCGTCGGAAGACGGGTCAAGGTGCTGCCAGTGCCTCTGTTATGAGATCAGAAAAGGAACAGTCCCAGTCCCTTTGCAAATGGTTTTTTCCCCCCCTTTATCCTCCTCCGTGCTTGCCAGCTGGTTCTGGTTTGTAATAATACCTCAAGTGATAAGTGTAAGGGTCGTGCACTGAACTGTCTACAATCGCATTTTATACGATTAGTCAGGGTTTTTTTAAAGCACCCTAATTATTACAGTCAAACCGGATTAAGCTATTCCTCTAATAGATTTTCAGTTCCTGTAAAATAGGCCAGCAAAAATGGCTTACGGGAGAGGCTGGGGGAAGGGACGGCTCTTTCCTTCCATCTCTTTTGCCTTCACTTTTTTAAAATGCCGGCAGGGGCCGGGGCATTGCAGGGAGCACTCGCTGAGCGCCCAGCAAACCAGGGGTCTCTGGTACTCAGCTCCCCTTCTCACCTGGACTGGTGCCCTTCGAGGGGCAGAAAAGGTAAACTACTTCTGAGTGAGAATGTAACTTTACTCGGGAGGGTGGCTGACAGATCATTGGATGGGTTGTGGGTTGCTCCATCATGGAAAATCGTCCAGGGCAAGCTGAAGTACAGGAAGGTGGTAGATGCATTGGCAATATGCCTTAACCGCTCATCACTGGGAAAGGCTGGGCAGGATTAGTGCGGAAGAGGCTTTTGTCCTGCAGCAGGCAGACCGTGAATGGTAAAAGTGGAGCAAGAAGACATGGAAAAGCCTCTTAATGGCAGGTTACACGGTTCATCCCGGCACAGCCAGCGCCCTGCCCTGCTCTGACATGGGATTACCTGAGCCTGAGCCTGCTGCCGGTGCAGGAACCGGCTGCTGGGGCTGGGCATCGCTTCCCTCCGCGAGGGCTGGCTCCTGCCTGCACAGGGGCTGCTGTGGCTGCCGGCAGCCCCCGTTAGCGCAGGGGCTGGGAACAAGATGCCCCGTGGCTTCCCTTGCTGGTAATACAACCGTGAGCACTACCGGTGCGAGCAATAATGAAAACGCTGCAAACTGAGGCAGCCATCAATAAAATATTTACACCACTCAGGCAGTGGCGTTTTAGACGAGTGCCGAGGCTTCCCCGTGGCAATCGGTGATTGATGGTGACATCACTTACCGCTCCCCTACCCTCCATCGGCACGGCTTATTGAAGGCCAGCGTTCACCATCTGCAAGAGGCCAGGGAGAGTCCAGCCCTTCACGGTCCTGGGGGATAAGAGGAGCCGAGCTGATGCTGCGCGGGGCTGGGAAGCCACAGCGAGCCCAGCTTTCCCTTACAGCCCGCAGGGCCACGCCAGCAGGTCGCTTTAAGCAGCCACACAGTGCAAATCCGAGGGAGGTGCAAAAGGAGCGGTGCCCAGCAGCGAGGCCAGCTTCTGCCAGCAGCTTCGCAGCCACTGCTGGAACGCTGTGGTGGCACCAGGTCTCTGCAGGGACCGATGCTGGGGGCTCCACCAGTACCATCTCCCAGCTGGGACAGTGCACAGCTACTGGTGGCCTTTCGACAACCCAAAAACCCAAGATCCCAAGCCCTCGCAGTCACTAAATATCTCCTCCGCAAGCTGCGTTGCAGGTCTGTGGGTGAACCCTGCTCGTCTGGCCAGCAGCCAGCGCAGGTAATTAGCTCGCCCTGTCACTCGGATGGAAACACCGCAGCATTGCACAGGTTTCTGCTGAACAGTTGCTTATTCTCAGCCCCTCCAGTCGTGGCTGCATTTCAATGGCGGGTAAATTGATTTCTGTGTTTATTTCGTATGCCAGGTTATTACAATTACTCTTCAGGATCCTTTGGGATGAAAGGCTATTATAGAGATGAAAGCTCATTAACAATAAATATAAAGGGTCAAAACTCCCCATAAAAATGTATTAGAAACAGATTCTAGTTTGGAAATGTAAATATAGCATTTGGCAGAGGTCCGGACTGGGTAGTCTGGTGTGCAAGACAGCTTAATCCACTGGGAAGATGTGGCTATTTTTATAGCGGCCAGTAGAATTACTGTGTGAATTATGGAGCTTTGGCTCCCTGGAAAAACAACTCCCCCCTGCCATCAAGAAAAAAGGAATTGTTGGGGGGGAGTGGAATAGGAGAATTTCTTCTGCTGAAAATATAATTTTTGTCGTAGAGCTGGAATATCTTTGGGAATTTACAAGTACAAATGTTAAAGAAAAAAAAAAAACCAAAGGTGAAGGGAATTTCAAAATCATAGTGGTAGCAATGGAAGTACCTAAACAGTGAAAAAAACCAACATTTTTTTCAGATATGTTTTCACAAATTCATTAATGAAGGGAAAGCTGAACCTGTCTTTTTCCAAAACCATTTGTCCCACCATTTCCCACACTTTCGAGTACCTTGAGCAGACTCCAGCTACCTGACAGGCGCAGGGCTGTAAATGAGCCCCCGTCAGCCAGTTCATGGTCCCCTCCCCAGCACAGAGCCCGTGGAGGTGCCATGCTGTTCTGCAGACTCTCCGCTGTTATGGCAGAGGAGCCGTGGTCGTTTCCGAACGCTTACAACAGGAGAGGATCCCTGGGGACTCGGCAAGGAGGATGCAGGCAAACACACACAGCAACGATCTGGAGATAGGAACTGCTCCGTGCGTTTAAGCAGGACCAGCACTGCAAAGCACCCACCTTAGCTGCCGGGTGCTGGTGGCTACGAGCAGGTTACAGGTTGCACCAGCTCCTCTGAGCGGAGTTTTGGCTTGGTGCTGCGAGTCATGGGTGCTTCAG